CCAGCCCAAGGAGACAAGGAGAACTCAGTGGTGCCAGATCCACCAGGATCAGCTCGCCGGGCTCAGCACCATGTCTCTGATGGCAGAGGGATGAGACCATGGTGGAGAGAGGAGCCCGATTCACCCGTGCCTATAGCTCCTGCCATACAGTCACTGCTCCATCCTGCTCCTGGCAGCCTCCATGTGGATTCCTTCCCAGCACCGGACATTGTCCTGCCCGAAGACCGGCCGGGAGGGAGGGGGGCGAGCGCCAGCACCCGGATTCTCATGCACGGGCAGCATTTCTTGCACTAAAACCCAAACCAACCCCAACGCAAGCGACTCTGCTCTGCTTCATGTGACGGCAGAGCCCGGCCAGGTGCGGGCAGCAGCCCCAGCGACTGCAACGCGAGCCGGGACCGGCCTCTTCCCGCTCCACTTTCCCATTTCCTGGAATGATTTCGCAATAATGCACTCGCGGGGGTTGTGCCGGAGCCTGGGGGAAGGAGTGGGACCGGGGGGTGGGGGGGGGGGGGGAACGCAACGCGAGCCCTGGGCAGGGGCAGGGAGGGGGGTGGGAGCCGCTTCGCTTCTGCCGGGGCCGGTGGTACTTTTAGCGCTAACAGCCGCGGCTCTGCGCGGTTCTGCTTCGCTTTGTGGGACAGGACCCCCAAGGGGACCCATCCAGCCCCCCACTGCCACTAGCCACCACCCATCTCCAAAGCAAGCAGGGGAGAGGCAGGGGGCTCCGGGGCTGCCCCATCACTGTGCCTGGTCCAGGCCCGGGCAGCCTCACAGCATCAGCGCATCCCCCTCTCCCTAAGGCCTGGGCTGTAGAAAACATCAGGTTGTTCCCCCCATCCTTGTTTCTCTCTCTACATGTCATGTATTAGTTGTGTTTGTCTTCAAATCAAGCCATTTTATACAGCAATAAGGGCAGAAGAGGGCAAAGGCTTTATCCACTGCTCCTGGGCTGTAGATGCTCTCCAGGTCCATGGGCTCCATCTCCCACATCGCCGGGGGCCAGCCCCTGGGAGCGCAAGGGGCACCCCAGCCGCGCCCCCTCGCAGCAGCACAGGATGCAGGAGAGATTCCTGGAGCGATTCCTGGGATCCTGGGGCGCAGCAAGGCTGGTACCAACACAGCCATGCCCTGGAGAGTTATAGCACAGCACGAGGAGAGAGCCCAGCCCGGCTGGGGGCACAGGTAACCCAATCCCCCCAGCCTCAGCTCAGCACCCCGCCTGCAGGACCCTGGGCACTGCAGAGCCCAAAGCTCAGCCCTTGCCTCCTGGTTCTCCACGTCACTGAGTGCTCAGGGCCAGCTCAGCTTTGCCCCCCTCAAACACACACGGGGCTTAAAGAGAGTTTCTTCAATCCCTCTTCCCTCCTGAGAGGAACATCCTGGCTCCATCTCTTCCCATCCCGCTTGCAAAGGGGAGGGCAGGGCCCTGCTGCCCCCAGGACCCCCCTGCCCAGGGCATTTTTAACCATTTCTCCCTATAATAAAGTATTTCTACAAGCAGGCACCCATCTGGGATCTCCCTCTTTGGGGCAGTCACTGTGCCAAGGAGGGAGGCATTTGGATTGGTTTATTCCTTTCTGTGTTTTATTGTGTTGGGAATTTAACAGAACTGAAGGGGGTTATTTATTTCTTTTTAATTTATTTTGTCATATTTTTGTAAAACCTGCAGAAATGCAATAAAAATCTATTTCAACAAGCCTGAGGCCTTGGGCTCAGTTCTTGCCTGCAGCATCGATCTGCTGCTGGAGGGGAAGGGGACAGTAGGGATGCTGCCACCCAGCACAGTCTTCTAAGAGAGGGCAAAGCCCCCAGGCAGTGACACATGAGGAATGACCCAAGTTCTCACCCTCTAAATTCTGCCCATTTATTCTAGACAGTATCAATCATGGAAGAGATGAATATAAACGTAAACCCAATGGCCCTGACATTAAGCTAATGGTAGGTTCCCACCCTCCCAAGATGCAGCTTCCAGGAAAACCACCTTCTTGCAGCCCCACGAGACAGGAGCGTGTGGAAAAGAGGGAAATTTCTGTTGCAAAGCCAGGTTTGGAAGTGCCACAGATACTGTGTGGCAAAAAGTCAGGCTGGGAGGAACGGGCTGGAGGAGTTAAAGCAGTTGAAGGTGAGAGAAAGCTCCAAGCTGGGCTGTGCCATGCGGCTGCTTTCACTAAAAATACCCCATGAAGCTCAGTAACAGCACCTTGGACTGATTAATCACAAATGAACACTTGGAAATGAGCACAACTCCAGCACAGACAAGGCAGTGACTCAGCTTTGACCATCCATTGAGGTCCCAGGCCACTTCTTAAAGGGATTTGTCTTCCCATAGCCCTACATCCCCAAAAAGAACACACCAGACACCTCATTCTGCTCCCCAGCCCCTCACCCCTTTCCACGCTCACCCCTATCAAAGCAGTCAAGAGGATTTGACCTGTTTGACTTATCTCCTATCATGACCCTCAAGAAAATCAAAGCACTTTGTGTGTTGAACAGCAACATGCCAGGGACTGCAGTGCTGCAATGGGAACAGTGACCCACCGTCCCAGGGATGTTTATGGAGCTGTTCGCAAGAAGGCAAAGTCAAATGTTCCTCTGAGTCACTAAATGAAGTTGGCTGTGGCCATGAAGGTGAGGAAATGAGAAGCGTAACAAATCACCACCATCACTGTGCACAAGGCAGCCATGAGTTGGTTTAGGGGAAGGAGCAGGAGAGCAGATGACCTATGGAAAACCCTGTCTCAACAACAAGTGCTGGTCCCCAGCATGCCAGCTCCCCTGGTGTCATGTCACCCACGCACCCGCTTCCCTGGAGGTGGCCAGCCACCTTTTGCTGGATAGAAAAGAAAATCCTGATTGGAAATAGGGTCAAGATCTCCCCAGTGAACACTCCCTTCCAGGTTAACATCAGCAAAACGGGGAACTTCGCCATAAAAGTTAAAGCCACGCAGGCTTCTCAAAAGCATCACGAACTCTCTTTTAATTCCTAGAACCACCCAATTCTAACAACACACAGAGTTCTTCAGGACTGGGGACACACTGGGACAGTTTTGCCTTTAGAAACAGAATCTCGGTGTCAAAGAGAATTTGAAGGCTGGGGTTCCATTCCCTCACTTCAATTACACGCATGTTCTTCCCTGCAGGCCAGGTTCAGTCTTTTCAATATCTAGAAAATGTGTTTTTTCTTCCCAGTGGTGAAAGAGAGATGAGGTTCTAGCAATCCTTTCTCCCTGGCATTCAGCTCCCAAGATGACACACATCTTCTATACAAACCACAACGCAGATGCCTGCAGAGGCGCTTCAGGACAAGCTCCACAAGCCAGCGCTGTGACATTCAGCACAGGTTGGACACAACCATTGGCTCCACACTAAGCTGGGAGCTGGCACAGTCCCTCTGCACAACCTGCTGACTCAGCCCTTCTGGGTGCTTACCAGCAGCAAAAACCCCACATGAGCTGCTAGACCAGACGTGGGGCTGCTCTCTCTCCTGGGAGGTCACAGGCATTGCAAACCTGCAGCAGAGACACACTGCAGTGCCGGCAGCACTGCCTGAAGGTCAGGCTGGGCTTAACCAAGGCCACAGTGCAATTCCCCCTCCTGGAGCACATTCTCCGTGCTGCTCCCAAAAATACCCTTCGCTGTTGTTGAGGTATCTCTAAAGAAAAGGATTTCCCACTCTGGTCCACATCAAATAGAACCCAAACCCCTGACAGCGAGAGCTGAGCTGGAACTCCTCTGTTCATGGTCGGCATGTCACACAGTTCCTCTGCTGCCAGCTCGATGGCATTAATCTAGGAGATCAAAAGAGTTTTCTTATTCTAGATAGGCAAGTTGTCTTAAAAGAACTTAAAACCAGAAAATGAAGCTTGTGGTTCACAGACAAGAGAAGAAACAACAAGAGGTAATGCAGCTGGTAACTGCGGTGTTAAGAGACAATCCAAGCCTCCTGCTTAGTCTTTGCTCTTCAGGCCAGTATCAAGGAGCTCACCAAAACATCAAGCTTTGAAGTTAAACCTGGTCTGTAGAGTGTCCAGCATGTTCCAAACCTGCCTCATATGAAACAGCCCAAACCCTGACAACTGAGCTGCTGGTGAAGGGACAAAGCCCCTTTTCCCAGTGATCCCACTCCAAAGCCAACTTCCCACCCTTCCAAAGGCAGAGCTGTTATCTACCCCGGACAACCACGCACATGGGAGCTCACAAACAGCTGGGCACATTGACCAGGATGACAGAAAACAGCACATGGGTTAAGTGTGGCCTTACAATTCATCACAACCTGAGCAACCAGCTCCCTACAGGCAGCGGCTGTGCAAGCCATGACCCCAAACCCTGCTGGTGCTTCATGTCTTGCCAAGGCTAAGGAAACAAGTTGTGGGTTTAAAATCAGACCTAACTTTGAAATGCAGCCAAGAAAACCTTCTGCCCACCTTAAATACTCCCGTGGTAAAGAGTTTAGACCCACGACAGCCTCAGTGTGGGCTGAGCTGCAGCATCAGGGGAGATCAGCAGCTCCCAGCCTGGATCTCCATCCTGCTGCTCACTGTTCTTTATAAGCACAGCTCTAGGAGCCAACCATCACCACAGACTCGTACCCTCAGCTGTGAATTCACACACCACCTTCAAGCCTATCCTCCCTTTCACTGTTTTCCCATCTCCAACTCTGTGTTTTTGTTACTAGATCTCCCCTAAAAATGAAGAAGTGAGCGTGAGACAGCAAGAGTTTCCCCTAAAACACTTGAGTTTCCTTGCACAGCAGTACCCTGACATTAGAAAAAGGCAGCGCCAGACTTCTTGACAGTCTGAACTTACCCAGCAGGTTTCTAACTGCTCACAGGGGGCCGAGCTCCAGTGTTGTTTAACACAGGACAGAGGCTTGAGAAGGGGACAGTCCGCAGGAAGGGGCAGCTCCTACAGGGAGGAACACTCTTCTGCTGTTAGGCTTTGGAGCAAAGAGGTGCTATTCAACTCAAAAAAATAAAAAAAAAAGAACAGAATTCTGATTGCTGACAAGTATCTCAAGTTTTCATTTAAAAACCCAAACCTTTAGTATACATTGGTAACAGAAACAATAAAAATACCACTATGCAGATATAAAACCCCGAGGGTGGCTAAATATCAGTCACTTTATAACAACAGTTGGAATCAGAGGAGCTCAGTATTGTACACACAGTGTGGTCAGCAAACCCCCAGGGTTTGGGTTTGTCAACATTTGTTTGCGTTGGTTTCAATGCACTAAGGCACCAGGAAGTCACAGTTAGGCAAATGAGACCTTCCATGCAACATTCAAACCCAAGACACTTACCACGTACTAAACAGACAAAAATATAGGATCAAAGTGCAATAGCTGGAAGACAGCACTGGAGCCAGCAGCAGCCTGCAGGAGGAAGGGAGAGAGCTCTGGCTTCAGGTTGGATGTAGAGAGCCTCAGTGCAGGGATCAGAAATCCACACCGCTTGTACACAGGCACCGATGCAACAAAACCAATACCCAAACGGCTGGACACTTAACAGTGCTCTGAGCCTTGTTCCTCCAGTGTTTCCCAACTGCTTGAAAAAGGCAACTTGCTTTTACCTCCTAAAACCACTGAAATATTGGCAAAGGTTCCCATAACCACCAAGACCAGTTGTAAAAGACACGGAGGGAACAAAGACGGGGGTTTACAACAGGAAGGAACTGCCAACTCTCTTTAATAGTACATCACTCTGGCTAGCAGAATAGTCAGCAAAGCTCAAACCTTGCTGGATCCACCACGAATTATACAGCATTTTACAACTTGAAAGCACTGTACAGACATTGCTGCAAGGCTGCAGCTCTCCAGCTTTGCTACACACACAGATTGGTCATACTTTATCATCAGCTGCACATTCGTTTCTTCCTCTGGTATCTCACAGCTCTTCAAAGGCTTCTTCAGCTTCAGCTTCACCCCATGAGGCAAGTGATCTTCAATGTCTTGCACTGTGCACAAAAGCACTTGCTGCCAGCATGGAGTCCTCTTGCCATCACCAGTAAATCATACAGAAACCCAAGTCTATTTTATCTTCACCAACACAGTTGGCATTTTCAACGACATTCCAGTAATTTGGAGGTTACTGCCATAGCAAAAAGGTTGGTTGGGGTTTGTTTTTGAGGCAGATACAAAGTTCTAAACTACCTGGTGTTAAGTTAAATTCATTCCATCAGAAACCTGGTGCCTAAAGGTACATCTAGAATTGCAATGTGAGCTGTGCCCTGCTCTTCCTAAGGGTCTGCCTTGCAACCTATGGTTGGCAGCAAGTTTCACTCCCTCCGCGTTCCCTGCGTTCCCAAACCTGAACACGTGGTGGCCCCGGGTTGAATGGGAATGCCATGGAGAAAGGGAGAGCAGAACCCCTCAAAGCTCCCAGCTGCTGCAGCCGCTCGGAATGAGGCTTGTCCAGGATCTCCAGAACAACATTCCTGTGATTTCGTGTTTAGGATTTGTTAACGAGGAAGAAAAAAAAACCCCACAGCTACAAATGTGACAATTTCAACTAACACAGTGTGAAGTCAGCTTCTTATGTTAAAGCAGACAAGACATCATTACTAAGCTACACCTTTCCTGTCCCCTTCAGGTGACAATGCTCATTTCCTTTGAGTCTCTGAACCTCTGAATCCAGACAACTCACAGGCCTCCGGTTTGGCTCTTCTCGAAGAGTCAGGGAAGGGTTCCAGGCAACAGGCACTGAACTGTCTTGAGTCCAAGAGGAATTGGTCTTCACCAGAGACCATGGAAGCTCATGTTTTGACCAACTCCATTCTGCTATTGCAGCACAACACAACGTACCATTATTCGGAGCTGGCAGTTGAACCAGAACTACATCCAGTTGCTGAGATGCTCCCAGACTTCTCCAGCCACAGGCTGCCTCCATCAGCCGCTGCTTACACACACTGGTGATCAAGTACTCAGCACAGTAGAAGAGTATCCTTTTATTCCAATGGAGAAGTTGCACAGATCAGTCCATCCAAGACCAAGAGAAGGTTAGAAAGTCAGAGCAACAAAAGCCACACACCTTTCACTTGAGTTCTCCATGTGCACTGATGCTTGAGATAACGCGTGCCGCGGGAGGAGCGCAGCCCTTACACAACAGACCAGGATACAACTGATTGATCAAGTTGACAACACATTTGCTAAGATCAACATAACCCTGAAGGACACTCATGTAGATTGGTTGGGTTTTGTTTTAGTGCAGTGCCAGTTTCAGAATTTTGGAGGAAGAATGGCGAGGCCATGCACTTATGGCTGGCCCGGACACATACAAAGAGGAGTTAAACCACTTGTAGTAGGTCAGTGGGTACGTAGAGAGCATGTATCTCTGGAGGGTTCTGTGATAACCCATGTCTCTTACCCAGGCTCCCATGGCTAGACCTGGGCAATAGGTAACAGATTCAAAACCTGCCAAAGTGACAGTGTTTTCAAAAGGAGGAACTAAGGTCCTACTACAGCATTTACTCCATCGTTCCACCTCCGCTCCATCAGGTTTACGGCATAAATAAAAAAATGGAGAGGACAAAAAAAAAAAAAAAAGAGAAAAAATAAATATGTTGGCTCCTGGGAAGTCAGAAGTGGTTTGGGCTGCACAGTGGAGGGGGGAGAGATGGGGCAAGGGGCAAATTTACACACTTGGAGACAAAACAGGAAGCGCCTGTAAAGTATGAGAGGAGGAAGTCAAGAGTTTAAGTGTCCTCATTCATGTCCTGGCTGTCTGTCCGAGCGATTTTCCGGGGTGGTGCCGAGTTCTCACCTTCTATTTCCACCTGCTCTTGATCTCTCTTCTTTGCTGCATTCTGTTTGGACAGAGAAAGGCACAGTGAAATTCCCCAGAGGCCAGGATTCGGCTGGGAATACCAGGAGAATGTTTCTAGAAGTTTCTGGCTGCAATGACCTGACACACTGGAGGAGCAAGCACTGAAGAGGGTTTTGCCCAAAGCCAAAAGATGCTGCTTCTACACTGTTCTTGACATCTGGGGGTGGGACTGACCCACCATTGATCTCAGCACCTTTTAGTTCTAGATCTCAAATGCTGCATAAAGCTGAGGAAGATCCCCTTTCCCACTGCTCTGAGCCAGTCCCTGAACACCTCGGAATCTCCCAAACCCTGTCACACACAAATCCTTTCTCTTTAGCTTCAAGATTCCTGATTATTTTACCTCCCCCCATGTTCTTCCACAGCCTCTGCTCTGGCTGTGATTGCACTCACTGCTTCCACATCTCCACTCCTATGTCATCCATCACCTTGCTCCCAGTACACCCAACCCAGGTATCCCAGGTTCCCAGTCTCAAATGCTGGCTAAAGCAGATTTGTGTGCTGCTCATACGAGAGCTCAGATTTTGTACCCAAGGTACTTACACATCCTTGTGTGTTCAAGTTCTGCACAAGCTCATCTGCCTTCCTCTCACAGCCCTGCAAGCTAAGAGCAGCTTTATCTCACCATAAAGCAGCCACAGAGGCACAGGGAGACCATCTGCCAAGGTCACAAAGGAAAACCGCAGTGAGAGGGAGCTGGAAGTGCAGGCTCCAAGTTCTAGACTAAACACTGAGTCAACATCCCTCACATTGGAAGGGAAGGAAAAGTTGTTTGGGGTTTTTAAGAACAGACAGAGCCACCCTGCACTATGCTCTTCCTGAAGCACAGCTTGCTCTTTTTTTTCATTAACTCTTCAATCTTGTGATGAATATTGAGCTCAATGAGCTCAAAGCAGCACATCAAGAATGCTGAAGGAAATACAAGCATACCTTTTTGTCCCACTGCTGATGTAAATAGCGCAAGAGGATATTTGTCTTTTCTGTTACTATGACTGCCAAGAAAAAGAGAGAGAAAAACCCAGGTCATGTCCAAGATCAGAGGCTCAGAGATTCATTCCATTTTAAAGATGACTTTTAAGACAGTGCAGTAATTGCCACGTTGCTTCCCATGGTCCTTCTTAATGAGAGGACAGCACGAAGGGACACCCATTGCTTCAGAAGCATCCAGAAGCACAAACCCAAGAACTGGACACACTCTGCTCATCACTGGCATGGTGGTTTCATAAATTATCATCTCATCTGAAGTTTAAACCAAGGGGGATTATGTGTACCCCAGGTTTGGAGTATTAGATCTGTAACAAGTTATTAAACCCCTCACAACTTTAGCAGGGCACTTACTTTGTTCAGATGGATATTCCCTCGTGGGAAGATAAACTGATGGTCTCCTATTCTGTAGAGGAATTACAACAGTTACAGGACAAAGACAGCAACAAGGTGGGGTTTTAAGGCAAGCACAGCTAAACCAACCAAAAGGCCCCTGTTCACCCAGGCTACAAGTGCACTGTGATATCCTGCCCTGGTTGTGGGACACTGTGAGGCTCCAGCTTTTTACGACCCGCATAGAAAGGAGAAGGTTCAGTTTTTGACATGTTTTTCAGGACTCCTAAAGAGTAGAGAAATAATACAAGCACCACAGATGTGGTCTGGCTGATGTAAGCCACATTCCTCACCAAAGCAAGCAGGAACTTTGCCTTGCCAAGCTCAGCTGATGAACTCTCAGCTGTGATCACACATGAGTTTTAAGAAACAAAAGCCTCACTGGGAGTTTCTTTTAGTCAAGCAGCCTTTGAGCCCCACAAGAAAACCTTCCCCCCAAAGGATGTGGCAATACTTACTGATGCTTTACATACAGAATCCGCATGGAATCTGCTGAAGTTGCTTTTGTTGTAGACTGGTAATCCTTTCAAAAAATCTGCCTGGAAAGACACAGGATACAAAGAAGCAGGTGAGGAAAGAATGTGATCACTGGCCTGAAGGAGCCACTCACGTCACTCAGATAAAGAGCTGCAGGAACTGAAGGATGCTGCCAGGTCCCAGGTAGTGAGATGGGTCTTAGATACTGAAACCCACCCAAACTGCTTTCTTAAAACCAATCCCCAGCTTTCGCATTTCATAGAGTCCCAGCCTGGTTTGGCCTGGAGGGACCTTAAAGCTCATCCAGTTCCAACCCCTGCCTCAGGCAGGGACCCCTTCCACTGGAGCAGCTTGCTCCAAGCCCCTGTGTCCAACCTGGCCTTGAACACTGCCAGGGATGGGGCAGCCACAGATTCTCTGGCTCACTCTATCCCCAGAGTTGAGTAATTCAGTGAGAAAGCTGCTGATTCAGCCTCTTTTGGCAGGGACGTGTCCAACGGGGGGGAGCCTGGACACAGACACATCTGCACCACTGATGAGCAGTAATTTACCAGCAGAAACCACAGCATCACACCAGAAACTGCCACAGCCACACCACTGCCTGGAGGCCTTGACCACCCCAAAACCAGCTGCTCTTTCACCTTCCCAGTTAACATTCTTTGTTATAGGCAAGGTTGGTTCCACAGAGCAATGAGAGCCTCCAAAGCCCAGTCCTTATCACAAGCTTATCAGCCCGGCTCCACTTCATTATCTTTTGGGAAGGATCCCACCCTGCACACATCAAGGCTCCTGGTACTTCCAAACCAAACTAACCCCAAGTTCTGCACTGCTGCTCACCCAGCCCAGCAGAGCTGTTTGCTGAACAGGAACCCTGCAGAGCCCTCTTGGTTTACTGAAGCCACAGCAGCACAGAACAGGCATTTCCTTCTCTGAAGTGAAACAGGAAGGTGGGAGCAGAATATTCTGGGGTCAAACAGAACTGAGCTTCAAAGTGTGGTGGAGCCCCTCTACTCACAGCAGAGACAAAGGATGATGGGAGAAATGTCTTGAAAAGAAAGAGAAGATGGGGAATAAATGTGAGATGAAGAGAGAGAAGCCCCAAAATGTTCCTTCTCAATCATTCAACCTGCATTAAAATGCTGTAAGATTCCAAGCCTGTTGCACTGAACACGGAAGGATTCTTCTCTAGGCCATGCATCCCCTTGTTCTGAAGCAGTTTGAAAAGGACAGTGAAGCAGCAGCTGAGAAATCATTTAATTTCAAGGTTAGAAGCAACCCAAAAATGCTGCCACAAAGCTGCCAGGGGGAAAGAGGCCGTTTTCACTTCACTCAAGTGAACCCTCCATTATGAACACTCCTTCTTCCATTCACATCCAAGAGGCATCATTGGCCAGATAAGAAAACATGATTCATACTTCTGGTTTTAACAACTCTCCTGACATTCCGGTTTCCACCCTCAACCTTTCCCATACACCTGAGTTTAGGAATAACCTTGAACCTGGGTTCAAACAGGGAACTGCAGCTTTATCCTGCCCATCTTAACCCCCAACCTGCAGGTTCCCTAGGACAGAATCCATCTCCCACCAGCTCAGCACTTCCCACCTCTGTCCTGATGGGTTTTGCTGTTCCCACTTCCACTGAGAGTGAACTAGTTCCACGATCCTGGTGAGAAGGAGCTGTACAAACACCCTGTTACACCTCCAAGGATCTCGCCTTCCTGGTGCAGAACATTGGTTCCAGCAGCCTCAACCAGAGCCAGGCACAGCCTCGATTGCTGCTCCTGCAGCAGAACCTGGTAACTCACTGGGTTTAGCACCATTTCAAAGAATGGGAAACAGCTGCTCTTATTTGAGAGCACGCAGCTTCAAGTACCCCTTCAATAAGCTACAGCTCACCCTAAGTTCCTCATGTTAAGCTATTGCTTATTTTCCAGCCAGGATTTGGTCCAGCAGAGCCCACATTTCCCTGGAAAGAGGCTGGATTCCAACTCTCTGCAGGGATTCCACACTGGAGTTTCCCAGGAGAGCGAGTTATGTCCTGTGAACATGGTTACAATTATCAACCCAAATGCAATTTAAATGGTGAATGTGGGGTTCCCCCCTCGCTGCCCCCAAAACTGCAGCAGGATCTCGAGCACACTCACAAGCAGGAAGGTTACAACACTCAACTCTTAACAGGTCCCTGGCTCTTGGCCACCACCTTTCCTGTGCTCAGCAATAGGGACACCAAAGTGACCGAGCAGATGAGGCTTCTCCAACCCAGCACATGGAGCACTCATCTCCAGTCCAGCTGAGGAGCACAACTAATCCTGCTGGATCCAATGCCCCACTCCCAGGAAGTGCCTGGACTCACATTCCTGCCTATTCAGAAGGAGACAATACTCCAAGTGCAATGATCTGTATCTGCTCCAAGGGTAGCAGGTAAATAAGCCCCAGGAGGTCACTGCTGTGTTCACAGCCCTGCGGGACACTGGGTCACACCTCCCATGAGAAAACACTCCCCAAGTGCCTCCTGCCACTCTTTAACCAAAGAAACTTCCTCCTGGCCAAGCTGCTGGAAGTGAAAGCCCAACACCAAACAAAGCAGATACCTCATGGCCTTTGAGGAAAGGCAAAGGCCCTCAACCCCCCCCAAAACAAGTGTGATTTTGCAACCTCCAAGACAACACTGGTTCCTTCTACAACTGGGGAAGTGAAAGGTAGAGATGGGAGGCAGCTACTGCATCACCTAGGGTCCTCGGCTTCCCAGGAGGGTGACAGTCCTCATCTAAAAGCAAAAAAGGTGGACAACCCACCACCACCCCCCATATTCTGTTCCCCATTCCCTGCTTTTGAAAGGAACTGCTCCAGAAGACAAGGCCCAACACAGAGAGGTTGAAACAAGGTCTCAGACCCAGCACAAGGCTTGTGGGTTAGAGAGAACCGATGATCGCAGGCTTGGGAACAGCCACCTCAACTCTCAGCCGTGGTACATGGAGACCACAAGGCCTGCTCGCATCCTGATCACTGAGCTCCTGGAGGGACACAAGGAAAACTTTCTCCCGTTGTTGCAAAGGGAAGGAAGGAGACTGGGAGCCTCTTGGCTACCGCAGCCTACCACCACCAGCTCAACAGCCTGCTGCTGCTGAGGGAGTACAGAAAGGTGTGAACCCCCTCCACAGGCCCCTCAGTGCGCAGCAGCCCTGGGGAGGGGGAGCCCCCACTGCTGCTCTCCAGACACCCACACCCTGGCAGCCCCCCGGCCCTCAGCCCCAATCCCTGCGGGTGGGGAAGGCCCCACGGCCCGGAGGAGCCCTCGCCCCCGTGCCCCCCCGCGACCCTCAAGCACTCCCAGTGTGGAACCCCTTCACGCCCCCAGCTCAGGGCCTCCCTCCACTCCTCATCCCCGCACGCCTGGGGAGGACCCCGCCACCCTGGGGTGCCTGAGGGTGGGGTACCCCCGGCCTCGGGCCACAGCAACCCCGCACCCCGGCCCTCAGAGACGCGCAACACGCGGGCCTGGGGTGCCCCCGTCCCCGCAGCCCCAGCTTCCTCCCGCGCCGAGGCCCGGGGCACCGGAGGGTGCGGGCCCTGCGAGGGCCGGAGGCGGCCGCGGCCTCGCCGTGGCCGGGCTGGGCGGGGCAGCGGAGCGCGGCCGGCGGGGCGGCGGCAATGCCGGGACTCCCGGGGCCGCGGTCCCGGCACGGCAGGGGGAGGGGGCGCCGCCATTTCGGGGGGTGCAGCACCTACCATCTTCACCGCCGCTACCGTGAGAGCCGCACCTCGGCCCGCCCACCGCCCGCCGCTGCCCACCCCGCGAGCCGCGATTGGCCCGCGCCCCGCGGCACTCGCGTCCTATTGGCCACCGCGCCTGTCACTCATCGCGTAGGGGTCAGCCGAGGCAGGAAACGCCCGCTCGGAGCCCGGGAGGGGGAAGGGTTGTGGCGCAGGGCGGCAGGACCCGGATGCAGCGCAGGGCGCGGGGCCCGCTGGGAAATGTAGTTCGTGCCCTTTCCCCGTGACCTTCGGTGGCGGAGGCACCGCTCATTAGGCGGTTCATTAGCAGCGGCGCCGCTCATTAGGCGGTTCGTTAGCAGCGGCCACAAGGCAATTCCGCCCCTTCCACCCCAGAACCAGAGCCCCGATCATGTAATAACTCAGGGGAGCTGAACAGGCAGAGGCACTGCCATAAAGTTTTGCATTCAATTAGCTCTGGGCTTTAATGGCAGCTCATGCTTTCAGCAGTTTCTCTGAATCACCCATACAAAGGGACACTAAGATTACAATTCATAGCACAGGCATTAAACGAACACCCTCTGAGGCCTCCCCTCGAGCCAGCATGACTCCTCACACTCTCCCAACACACGACAGACACATGTGCGCAGCCTCCCTCGGCACAGGTGCTCCACTCGGGTCACTCCACAGCTTCAGGCTTGCCTCGCAAGCAGAGCCCTCAGTGGCTCAGAGACTTCCTGCCCTTCAGCATGCGCCGCAGGATGACCTCGATGCCCGCCGGCGTGCTGATGCGCTTGATCCAGCCGTGGGTCCGTTTGCGCTTCCGGTTGTTGGGCTGATATTCGTTGCCTCGCGCTTTGGTGCGGATCTGCTGGTGGGTCCAGGGGGACACGGGGCCAGGGCTGATTCCTACCGGCTTGAAGAGAAGGTGGCTCCTGAGGGGCAGCTCCAGGGACCCGCAGAGCACAGCGGCTGTGCGGAGCTGGACAGAGCCGGCCGCAGCGTGCTGCAAGAGGAGAAACCTTTGGGAACAGACAAAAGCACCATCAGAGGAGTGAGATGCGCGCCCGGCGCTGCCGCTGACGGGCCGATAACGGGACCTGTGGAGCAATGAGGGACGGGGCTGACCCTGCGGCGGGGGCTCGCGTCCCTCCCCAGCCCAGGGCGTGCTCCCGGAGGGGAACAGCACACCCGGGGCACGGCAACGCCGCTGCCCGCCCGCCCGCCCTCTCCTCTCCCGGGTTACCTGCGGCCCACAGCGCGTCCCAACGCTGCCATGGCCGTCCACCCGCCACTGCCAACACCGCCCTGCCAACAACACCGCCCGCTATTGGCTCCCTCCACCCAGTCACGTGCAGCGTGCCGCAACGGCTGATGGGGCTTGTAGTCACGGTACGGGGCCGCGCCGTTACCATGGCAGCGGCGGCCGGGATCGGCCTTGAGGAGCTCCGCGGCCTCGTCCCGGGCGCAAACCGGAGCGAAGCCGCCTCTCGACGATCGTTTGTGCCTCGGCAGGGCGGTTCTGGGGCGGGAGGCTCAGGGCGCGGGGCACCCCTTCCATTGCGGCCCTGAGGGGGTGTCCCCTGGTTACTCCACACCGCCGGGACAAGCAGCGTGGGGCTTGGGTGGGAGCCTGAAGAGGGTAAAGGGGCAGCGGGCTCCCCCCATCCCGTGTGCCCTAATGGGTGTGTATGCTCTGGGTTGTTGTGTCCCTGCCATAAACCAGCCTGTCGGGGTGAGGGGGTGTGATGGCAGCACCCCCAAAGCCACAGCTGTGCATACAAACCCAACGGACAGCCATGAGGTGATGGCTGTGCTCCTGGTCCGGCTGCTGCGAGCTGCACCTTCCTGCTGAGCACACCCGTGCTGAGCTTGGACACACTCGTGGCAACAAAAACGTCGTGGCACCAACACCCTTGTGATGCCAACACCCTCATGGCACTGACATCCTTGTGACACCAACACCCTCATGGCACTGACACCATCGTGGCACTGACACCCTTGTGACACTGACACCATCATGGCACTGACACCATTGTGGCACTGACATCCTCGTGACACCAACACCCTCATGGCACTGATATCCTTGTGGCACTGACATCCTTGTGACACCAACACCCTCATGGCACTGACACCATAGTGGCACTGACATCCTTGTGACACCAACACCCTCGTGGCACTGACACCATTATGGCACCAACACCCTTGTGACACTGACACCATCGTGGCACGGACGCCATCGTGGCACCGACACCGTTGTGACACCAACACCCTCATGGCACTGACACCATCGTGGCACTGACATCCTCGTGACACCGACACCCTCATGGCACTGACATCCTTGTGACACCAACACCCTCACGGCACTGACACCATTGTGGCACTGACATCCTTGTGACACCAACACCCTCATGGCACTGACATCCTTGTGACACTGACACCATCGTGGCACCGACACCCTTGTGACACCAACACCCTCATGGCACTGACACCATCGTGGCACTGACACCCTTGTGACACCAACACCCTCATGGCACTGACACCATCGTGGCACTGACATTCTCGTGGCACCAAAACCATCGTGGCACCGACACCATCGTGGCACCGACACCCTCATGGCACTGACATTCTCGTGGCACTGACACCATTGTGGCACCGACACCCTTGTGACACCAACACTCTCATGGCACTGACATCCTTATGGCACTGACACCATCGTGGCACTGACACCATCGTGGCACCGACACCCTCTTGGCCTGTAGCAGCCACGAATACCAGCAGGGTGAGAAAACTGTGCCAGGTAACTGAAGGGCCTCCCCTCACTGGAAAGGATCGAGCCCTCCTGCCCCCCCCCCCCCCGCTGTTGGCAGCACCCCCGCGGGCTGCGCAGGGCCTTGCTTTGACTGGCACATCTCCCTGTCTGTCACACCAAGAGCCCTCCTCTTTAGGAGGGATTTAAGGGGCTTTCTATGGCTATAGACCACAAGGACAAACAGCCCCCCCCAGAGCCCAGAGCTCCGCTATGAAGCCTCTCCTGGGGAGAAGATGGAAGGAGAAACGTTGGTCTCAAGCAGATGAGCTGAACTGAAGGCATCGCTCCAGCCTTCCTAACCACACAGGCGCAGCAACCTGGAGCTGCAGGAGTGGAAAAGCTGAGCAGCCTTCTCGAGCTGCAGCCTGCATCCTGCACCCTGCACCAGCTCCCTCCGTCTCGGCCAGCTCTGCCTCTCCTGCACGATTTAAGCCTTTTCCTTTACAAGCTCGACTCCTGCCCATCCTTGTCGATAAATGAGGTGAGCATCCTCTCATTCCTCTCTTCCTTTGTGCCGAGGGCTCAGAGCACAAGCAGTGATGTAGGACATGCCCTGAGGGAGGAAGGTGCAGAGCAATGGAGAGGAGGGGTCAAAATAGCCAAAAGGTGGGTTTCTTTTCCCAAAGCTGATAACGAGGAGGGATTTGAGAGGCATCAGCTGGGCTTGCAGGGCAGGAGGAAGGCAGCCTTGCAGCAGCACTGCACCGCTTGTGCTTCAATCTCCCCGTTCTAACAGCGGGGTTAGAAAACGCTGCCTGGCGATCCAAGTTAAAGGCCAGCTCCCGTTGTGATGCAATGGCAGTGAGTGGTTGCCGGCTCTGCTCTGCTGTTGCTATGTGCTTGGCAAATCTGCTCTGCTTCCCGCTTGAAGCCCGAGGGGGCACCTGCACGCAGCGCAAGGGGCAGAGATTCCTCCTTCTGCCTCCTTCCCATGGCTCCCTCCAGCCCGCTGCCGGAGGATGCTCGCTTCCAAAGGAATCCAGCCTTGCTGCTGCTCTGCGGGGGGAGCAGGAGCTTTGGGAAGCAGAGGGGGGTTAAGCGGCATTCCAGAGGTCACGCACGGGTTACCCCGCTGTGCATTACATGAGCTTTTGTTTCTCAAGGTCTTCTTCCTTCCTAAAGAGCCTGTGGCCGGTGGGCAGCGCGGCTCCGGGCTGTCCCCTGCCCTCCATCCACGCTCCTTCGGCACTCACTGTGGTTTGTCCTCGTCCCCTGGGGCCCTCAGTGGAGCCCTGCTGCCTGCAGACAGGGACCAGACTCCCTTCCCCAGGGAAGGAGCCTCATCCCTGCCCGTGCTGAGGACCTCAGGGCTGCCTCCGTGCTTTTCTATTTGTATGCCTGATAAACCCTTCCTGCCCGCTTACTCCTCATAAAGCTGCTGTAATTCCACCAGGACATGGAAGCCAGGTGGAGCAGAATAAATCCAGGTGCTTGCCACCCACCACCTGAAGTGGCTTTTTCACCTTCCTTCAGAGGGAAGTTGCCTTTGCAGGGCCCAGATGAAGCAGCACAACCATTTTCTTGCTTGTAGCTGAGATCAGGACTTCACCGGATGTTCTCTTGCTCGATGCCGCAGTTTCTCCACTTCATTCCCAGGGAATGACTGGGGGAGGCTGGGAAGAGCATCACAATGTTTGCCCATTCCTCAGGAGTGGCATTTGGCACCATTAACACTCATGAGCCCCAATGGGAAGGGATTAGAGGTGAACAAATCTTTATGGCAGGTCGGGTTCTGGCTGTAGCACAGCTCCTGCTCCTCTCTGGCACCTCTCCTCCGAGGTCTTGAAAGGAACTTAGCAGCTATTGAGTCCCTGCTGCTCCCAAGGCTCTGTGCAGGGAAGGGGACGGAGGTGCTGAGCAGAGCTTGGACTCACTGGTCTCCATAGGGAAGTTCATGGCCATCAGCTTCAGCTCTGACTCCCTCTTGTGCTGTCCCTGCAGTAAATGATGCTTTTGGATTGCTTAAAGGGATGAAATGTTTTGTCAAACATGGTATGGGAAAGGAGGAGGAGATCCTTGTCATTCCCAGCACCCCAGACAGGTAGGATATCAGCTGTCTCCAGCACTGTGTGCAGGGACCCAGCAGGGACAGCACCACTACGAGAGGCAGGATTGGGATGCTGTTTGGAGCAAGGATGGTGAGGGAAGAGCCTGACATGGCCATTAAGTGTGTCATATCCCTCAGGCAGACGTGGTGTGAGCACCGCCCTGAGATACCACTCTGTGTGCTCCGTG